CGCTATTTTTATTGAGTTTATAATTTTAGAACAGAAACGACTAAGTTCAAAGGATTGTTCAAACAAAATTGAACGAAAATTTTATTCATACCAGTAGTTTTGAATATTGGCAAGTTTTTTATTCAGAATTAGTTATTATTTGTTACAAAACGTGGCTCTTTTTGGGGGTATAGTAATACAAGCCGTACAAAGGCGTTATTTCAGTTTATTACTGAGATTTATATTTACTTTTTTAGATACATGTCTTATTCTACAAAAGTATTTGTTTGATGTTCAGATACGTAGTTGCTGCTGTGTACACAGAACAAGATTGTGACTTTTGTAAATTTTTTATTTGGCTTGAATCTGGAAACCCTAAAATTTTGTCGACGAGAGAAAATGTGTAATACAATAAAAGTTTTCCAGCGAGAGAAAAAAAGTGACGAGTATTGATTTAATTGATTGGGTCTCCTTTGGAGCTTTAATTCGCAGTTCATTTAATCTTCACGATTGAGATTGAAGAGATATCCGTTATTTTTAAAAGAATAAATCTCAGCTCGTGGACTAATAGATTCCTAACACAGAAAAGAATTCTTTTGACAAGGCCGCTAATTAAAATTGATTTGGTAAAGAATTTTATTTGTTTTGTAATCCCATGTTGATGGGTTAAATAATTGGGGTACGAGCGAACCGTGAGAAGTAGCGCATTGTTAAGCGTGCCGTCAAATTGTTGAACGCCAACAACGCAGACAAATTATTATTAACCTGCTTGATATCTAGGTAGATTGAGCTAATATGAAATAATAAACGGTCTCCATTATGCCCGTATTATCCGCATTATATGTGTTAGCTCGAGGACGTTGATAACTGGAAGATTCTCGCACACAGAGAAACTTGCGACCAAGGACTTTCCTTGACTTTATGTCAAACGTTGTAGCTTGAGCTGTTTTTTTGTTGCACGTCTTCGAAGATGTTCTCCATTCAAGTTCAAACCCTTGATATAAATCAGAAAATGGCAAATGCTAATGCCGCTGTGATACTTCTCTGTTTACATCAAGTTGCTTTTCTGCTATTGATTCTGTAGCTTGCCGTCTTAATTTGCAGATGGGATTACAATGCATAAAAGTGGCTGCGACTTTAAAGTTGTAGCATTTTTATAGCTTTTCCATATTGCTGATGTGTTTTATGTGTTTAAAAACATACTAGTGGTAGAAAAAATTGCTGAATACGAAACGACTCGGAGCAGCGGCGGATAAATTCAGCCGCCACAAATGGTGGTCTAGTCAGCCAATTTATATAACGGCCAGTATGGTTCGTAATTATTTAGCAGGCTGTAGCAATCAATTTGCCATTTTATGATGTTACTACCCGTTCCTGAATCTCTAAGCTTTTCAGTTTTATGTTATTTCTGGGAAGCTCTATTTTATTTTACTATGTCCAATGAAAAATTCGTTTTTTCCGTGAGCAGGTGCAGCCATACCTACATAAAACTCGACAAACTACGTTATGGCATATAATGAAATAACCGATTTTATAGGCGAATTTCAGCACTTATTTCTGGGTAATTAACTTTGTTTTAAAACCAATTTTCTATGGTGAATGATGACGAAATAAAGACGAATTAATAGCGCTAAATATGTCGTTTTCTTGAAGTGGTGTCTTGGTGTGGTACTTTTTTCCTACATGAAAAATAAGGTAGCAGCAGTAAGATTTTAAATCTCACCATTATGTAACTAATTTAATTTTGAATACAGTAAAACGTCTCAATAACGGACACCGATGGGGAATCTTTAATTGTCCGTTGTGAAGAGGTGGCCCTTAATGAGAGGTGTGCTTAATTATTAAAAAAATTGAAAAGCCATTTATTTAAAATAACAAAATAACAAAAACAAAATTATGATAAAACTGTAGTTCTTAAAATATAACTTGATTAATGCCCCGCTTTTACGTAATTACCTACTAATAAAAAAACTATAATCAAAGGGAGCGTATGTCACACTGTTCCATGAAATTAAATTTTAAACCTAAAATCGGTGTTTTTTACCCAAATCAAAGTAAAAGTAAGTACTGAGTATCAGAACTCTATGCAAAGCATGCATAATAATTTATTAGCTAAATTTGGAAAAAATTCTTCAGTGTAATTTATGCTCTGATAAAATAGGTCTGCTGTTGATAATTCAAAATGGGCGAAGCATTTATCTTCTTAAACTTTATGGACTATAAAAGCATTACAAAAAAAATAGAAAAAAAATTTGATTTGAAAACAGCGTTAATTTTTGTTTGTTTGCTTAGACCAAAAGTTTTTTTAATTATGTTTTTGGAGTTTGTTACTTTAACTAACAAGTTTTTTTTATTCTGTATTTTGCCTGTTGCCTGTTGTAGGAGGTAAATTTATATGAGATTATGGTAATTGGGAAAAATTTCACTGTCTGCGTCCGCTAACACAGGGCGACAAAAAAAATGTCATGTCGTGACAACTTGACAAATTTTATATCATTTTGTTCGTCTCAGTGAGACACATCAAATGCACTAAAAAAATTCAAAAAGTCCACACACTTTGAACTAAATAATTTTATTCTAATTTAAATGAATTTAAAATACTTTAACTTTAAAAAATCATTACTCAATAACTATTAGGCCGATTTCCTTCAAATAAAGACCATTCTAAAGGGATGGACTTACCCTTTAGAATGATATGCAATGTGAAATTGAATATTGGCAAACTTTTCTTCGAACAGTGTTCAAAGAAGTTCGAAGTAAATCGAAGTAATCTAAGAAAAAACCTACGAGTATTTTTTTTTTCATCATTACCATCGTGTAGAGTATCTCTTTATTAGTTGTAATCCAAATTTTCAATAATATACCGAGTAGTTTTCAAGATATGATTTTTTGAAGTTAAGGTTTGCTAATCAAGCATTGCTCCATACAGGAGAAATGCATGTTAATCTTATTTAAAGTTGCATTTTTATAAAAGTATTTGTTTTAAGACTCTTACTTTTCTTAAAAATGGTCAATTGCACTTTGTTTGTTCTAATTAGAATAAACAAAAACTGTTTGTTTACCTAAAACAAATGTAATCAGAGGGACCGTTGTAGAGAGGATTTTTTACATTACATTCCTATTTATTAGTTACGTTCCTACAAAAATGTCCGTTATCAAGAAGTATGTGCTATTTAGAGGTGTCCGTTAAGAGAGGTTTTACTGTATTTGAAATTAAACATGTTTTTTTGCTGCCATTCGAGAGAAGATTGTTGTTTTAAGTAAGTAGGTAGTAAAGGAAAAACAATTTTTTTCATTTTAATAAGAAAGTTGCAAGTTGTGATTATAGAACTAAACATTTAATCGCTGCTATGGGTTAATTTTGTTTGATGGTCTTTTTATTACTGTATAAATTGTAGATTTATCAAGATTATTAGGTAATAAAATAAAAGCATAAATACTAACAATTACGTCGTAACTAGTATTTTTACATTGTCTTATTCTTGGATGATTAAATAGAAAATAATTTGTGATAATGTTATACTATACTTCCCTATTTTTTTTTGACTTGCCTTTTTGAATTAACAAGTCTAAATTTTAATGATCCGTGTACAAGTTTCTCAATCAAGTTATTATTTGTGAATTTCGTACCCTTCGTCGCTTTTATAATGTTTTATTCATTTGGTCTTCTTTATAATTTTCGCCTAAACATTAAAATATGCAAATGTTTCTAAAAATATGCAAAGAAGCAGCGTGAACAAATTTTAATAAATGAATACAGCAAGGAAAGTTATCGGTGTAAAGTGTGAGAATGCTATTTAGGCGTCGAAAAAGGCGTCGGATGAAAGTATATCTGAACTGTCAGCAGTTCCACATGCGAATTCCCGTTTATGACGTCACGCCACATGACAATGGCTTTCCAGGGGTTTCAGAAATAAGAAGCCAAACAATAGCGTATATACAGGTTAGCGTCGCTGTGCGGTCTTTCCGGGGTCAACTTGGATACCTTATCAGTAAATTGCTTTGCGCAATATGATCCCAAAACTTGCGAACTTACTTCTGCAAAGGCGGTTTGTTTTCGCGACGAGACGCTTTACTTTTTTTTATTTGAAAAATAAATCAATACAAACTCTACCATTAAAGGATTATTAATAGGATTTTGCTAGTCAAAACTGTTAAATGTAGTTACAATTAGTTAAAGCACAAAATTACGTAGTAATTTGTTATCTATTAAACGTCATTTAGTAACACGGAACAATAATAATAATTGGGTGAACATTGAGCATTTGCCATAAAATCATATCACTTGCTTGCTTGCCTTTCGAAATACAATAAGTTTCAAAATCTCTTGAAGTAAAAATGTTTTCATATTAAAAAAAAGTTAACGTAAACTAGAATATTGCTCGTTTAATTAGCGTGTTTTTTTATTGGCCCCATTGAAGAAATGCTTTTGTTGTTGAAGCATTTCGAAGGAAATGTAACTGGAAACTTCTCGTCGTGTCGGGATAATACCACTAAAAACTCGAGACCATCCTCTGACTGAGGATAATCTCACTAAAAACTTGGGGCCATTACATTCTGTTTTCTCCTCACATGGAAAACGTTTTTAGCTTAATTTTTGTTAGCTTTAATTATTTTAATAGAACGGCCTATAGCATTTTAATGGCATAGGGACGCCTGCTTCTTGAATTAATTATGGAATATGAACGGTTTCTTCTTAATTGTAGTTCGGTTACAGTGTTGTGGGTTTAAACCACTTAGCGTCGTGATTTATTTACCTTAAAGTTGGGGAGTGCGACAAAGTTTTATTTCGGGTCTCGACGCTTTTGTCGTCACTTTTCGACATTAAAGCTTGAAGCTGTAAGGTCATAAATACAACTAAGTTGACGCATATTTCAGAAAGAAACTTACAAACTTATGAATTCGTAATATATTCATGCCCTACAGAGGAGCGTTACACCAAATCTTGAAAGCTTATGGCTTTTCTGTAGATTAATATCACTGCCAGTGTGCAAATTAAAAAATGTTGTTTTTTTTTTCAGGCTGTTCAAGATTCGACTGATTCCGGATAACGAAGTGTTTGCTGACGACATTACGTTTGAATCCACCAGAGGACAGATTCATTTCGATCCGAATTTCGTCTACACGGGAACTCTTGAAGGTAATTTTACTTTTATGCATAGTTTTTTATTCAGTCATTAGAAAACTTATCTCAAAGTTTTTGTACAAACGAATTTACGAATGATTTTTATGTTTTTTATGTTTTTTTTTTTTGTATCTCAAACTTGAATTTGCTAAAACTTGTTCAAGTTTATAACATAATGTTACACTGGAGAAGGTTGGGTCAAACTTCCCAATCGAAGTTTTTAGATGGTCAATATAGTAATTACAAAGTTTCCGAAGCACTTAGCTTGCGACCATATAATTGTTTGGTTGTTGTGCTTGTCTCTAACGACCATTTGTCGACAACTTTATTGTATACATCATGAGGACCCAACTTCTTGGAGCTTTGACTTACGCGATACGTTTTTTTACGCATTAAAAAACGATTTATTTGAATTTATGGGTTGCTGATCAGTATTTAAACACTTCTTCATTTGGCGTTAAAAACGTGATAAACATCGAATTTACATTTATGTCGAGGGTTTTTGGCTATATGTTTTGGATCGTTAAACGCAGAGATCGTTCACTAAACGATATTTGGAGGCATTTCGGACTTGTCAGGAGCATAAGGCAATAAATAAATTTGCATCAGAGACGTATCACTGTATTTATTAAATCTCTGATCCTCTGAAGTACAACTGTAAAGGAATTAGTGAATAGTAAGGGGAATCACAAGAATTTAGAGCCAGTTACAATGTCGAAAGTTTGAAATGGAAAATTAAAGCAAATCCTAATAGAACGGAAATTTAATGTAATCCGCTTTACATTTGTTGTTGCATTGCGTTTTTAATTTTTGGTAATGTTTAACCGATAAATATTCTCCACAGGTTAGAACTTAATTTTATGTTTCCGCTTATATGAAACTACGTGCTCGAAATTATTATATTCTTGTATTTCCTTTCTCTTTGTTGTTTTTGGATTTTGCTACGAGTTATATGCAGGCCATGTTGGGAATACAGGAAGTGTTTACTCTAAGTATTTGGAATGTTGCACATTTACAATTTTACGCCAATGAAGGTTTTAAATAAAATAAATGCAATTGAAACTTTGTTTAGATGTCTGATAATTAAACTTTTTAAAGTCTTTTAATTTACGTTTTCGTATTAAAATTGTCAGTGTAGATTTAGAGCTTTTTCTTTCTAACCATCTGTCATCACCTTAAAATTTTCAAATAATGCTTTTTCATTATTTTATTTTATGGTTTTTGTACGCTGTCCGGCCGCAGGAACTCTTTTTTAGTGAAATTTTAATGTTCTTTGTGTATTTTATCTTTGATGCAAACTCTAGTTGGTTTTATGCATATTGAAACGACTGAAAACCCTTGGGGTGACTCCGGCTTTTTATATTTGCTTCGTTTACATCAAACGTCTGTCAAAGTTATAAAGCATGTTTTATGGCGAAATGGTGTGGTACCTACTCACTGTAATTCAGCTTTTCTCCGGAATGTGTAATTGGCAGAGTTGCGATTCTCTAGAGATCGAAATTGCATTTGCATTTCCTGTTCTTTGATCGATTTTATTTAAATTTATAGCAGTCGCAGCCATTTGATGATGGAATTCGGAATCTTGTCGTCGCAATTAAGTTGAATTATTACTGTCGTTGCTGAGTTCTAATTGTGTTTTTCCTATTCACGTGAGAATTCGTTATGCGGAAACAAAATCCAATTTTCAAAAAATTACGAGTTAGAAAGGTTAAGTTGGGAGCAACGAACTCGACGATTTCTTTCCTGAGATGAATATTTTATAAAGTTTGGAAACGCCGATTGTAGCTTTTGTATCGAAAACGTTCGGAACTGTTAGATAAAACAGTTTTGATAAAAGGACTTACTTTAAACAACTAATTATTTCTTCTAGTTAATCGAGAGGAGGATTTTTATACGCGTCAGCATTATTAAAGATAAAAATAATATTTTGTTAGATAATTGGCTTTGGTAACATCTTTGGGGAAAATGTCAGAAGATTGTCGAGCGATGAATAGGAATTTTATAACATGAAAGACGACAAATAGCTTTAACAAAAAAGACTTGCTTTCATTTTTCATCATGACGGAAAACGAATACATCCTGGTTTACTTACATTGCATGAGACTGATAAATAACGGAAGCCAACCTGTGCAACCTACAGTTTTATTTTGTTTTTCAGTTGGTGGTAACCTCAGTTTTATTTTATCACATAAGGAAAACAAAAAAACATTCGTTATCTGATTAAACTGAAACTGATTAAATTTTCAGGATTTGTGTGTACAATTTTTTGTTGAAGATGTCAATCAGTTATACACTTTGTATGCGTTGTTTGTTGAGGCTTTATCTGCCTAACTTTTGTTCGGATAAAATGGTTTAAATAACTGTCTTGTTTTATTGTTAGCTTTAAGATTGTTCTCTAATCCGGTAAGCTTTTAATTACAAAAATTTGAATAAAAGGTATATCAATTTGCAATAAAAGCCCTATTTGCATACACATTAGTATTTATCAATTGATTCGCAAGTAAATTACCCTAGTTTTAAGCAAATTAACACTGTACAAAGACCTAGTTTATTTCATTAGCGTTGAAGGCAACAATACAATAAAATATTTCTCCGCTCTCATTTACTTCTGCGCTGCATGCAGCAAGTGTAATGTAGTCATTATACTAATGTAATAATTTCAAGAAATTCATAGATAATTATTACATTGCGTAATATTTGGTACAACGTGATGGAGTTTCTATCTGCAGTGGCGTATTTACATACGAAGGTGTTGTCCGGGGCGTTATTTATGCACAACTCGAAAGAAACTTTTTCGATTATAAATATCAGACGATCGAACCATTGGGAAAGATAATGTTAAAAACTTATAAAGTTGCCACTAACTGTCCGTGACTGCTGCCCTCGGGAAACGTTTTAAATGATCGACGATGGCCATAGCTTTAATTGTTCCCCTACAGTCACCGGTGACACTGAATAACCCGGAAGTGGTACTTTTATGGGAAAGATAACTAGATTCCTAGTAGTTTATGTCACTGTTCGAGCTTAACTTTGTTTGAAATTTAAATTAGTTTAAAACAATACCGTATTTTTAAGTGTCAAGTTCCTATCGATAACGTGGAATTAGCTTGCCCAGCGCATCCACCATTTTACTGAAAGAAAACAACGGACGTGTTGACTGTAAAGTTAATTTGAGTTTTAAATACAGCAAACAGTGTTAATCAATTGTCGGTTTGCTATTTAAAATCATAAATAAAATAGAATTTGCCTGGCGCATTCACATTTATTTATTATGTTTATTATTTATAAAATTAATTAACAACATTTTATCAGTAAAATAGTTATGGTGGTTTGTTTGTTACACGCAATAGAAAAGTGTTATTTTGTTATGCTTTTGTTTTCAATTTTGTACATGAAAAATTGATGACTGAGAAAATTAGTTTCAAAAAATTACTAGCTTTTCACTATGCCAATAATAATTTAAGTTCAATTAGTTATACTTTGAAATTTATTGTAACTGATTTCTGTGATTGAAAAACTGATTTTTTTTCATTATTTAAAAATAGTATATTAAAATACAAGTGTTACAAACAAGGGTTACAATGAGATGTTTTTTATACAATCTTTTCTATGATCGCGTTGTAATAGTTATTTGTATTACAAGAGGGCAAAGTATATCTTTTCTCCCCACAGTGGAAGTTACTGCCCGAAACTTGTCGAGAGCACTAACCACCCAAGACACTTTTCTCCAGTGTAATGCATACAATTTTTCCTACGATCTAGGAAGATAAATTGTAAAATTAACAATCTTTTGATATTTCAGCTTTGCCATTAAATATAGTAGCATGTTCTTTCGTTTTTATGAGGGAGGTAATTTTATTTTACCTTCCTAGTGGTTGGTCACTTTCTTTTTTGAAATTACGGTGGAAAAACTTACTTTTTCGGCTTCCGTCTAAAATTAGTGATTTTCCAGTCGTCCAAATCGTCTTGAAAACACCCATTTGCGTGTCTAGACAAGAAAATAAAAACAGGGTTTTCAAATGAAAGTTTTTGTATTGGTAGCACTGAGTGACACTGAAATGTCAAATCTGTTCTGTTCTTTTCTTTCTCTTACAAATTCTGTCCACTGCCACTTTTCATCCAAGATCCAAGCCTAAAACAGCTTTCCACACAGTCAATAAATGACCTTTTGGAAGTCTGCAAAAACAATTTGTTGACATAAACATAACCTCAAACCATGAGTGACTAGACTAACCGGTGAAATCTGATTTCTTTGGGTCGAATCGGAATGAATGGAATTTAAGAAAATTTTCAGAAATTTTTAGAAGCCCATTTCTTCAACAAATCATTTTCTTTCCAATAACGATTGGACGACTTTTCTGGCAATAAATTTTGAATTGCAGCTTCTACCACATTTTGAAAATACTCTGGCATATCTTGTGTATCCATTTTTAACTGATTCAATTGAATTTTCTTCTCAAAAATCTTAATTACTTTACAAATGTCATAAAATTATTTTAAATTTAAATCAATACACCGTGAAGTAAGTGCTACTAATAGAAGAAAAATAAATTTCCTAGTCGGAGAAAATTTAACAATAAATATTTAAATAAATTTGTTTTAATTGAAAAATGTCGGCCAAAAAAGTTTTGTGTATCGCACGGCCAGAAACTGTTTTGTAAGTGCTTGCACTTACTCCACATACACATAGTACATAAATATAGTATTGTAGCACTGTTTTTTGATAAAACAGTTTTACAAAATGATCTTTGTAACACTAAAGTAAAAAAAAACAAATCAATTTTGCTTTAATTTTAATTTATTTAATTTATATACGAAGTGCTTGATTTGAAATATCATACTGGTATTTTGATAATACAATTGTGTGTGAAATAATCTGCTTTTCTTCGTGCTCAAATTATAGAACTGCGATTGGCTTTCCCGGCACATCCACCATTTTTATGTGTAATCATTCGTCGAAAAATCTAAGGTGTCAGCTGCGCTTTATGTTCGGTTTATTTGACGGTCTCGTTTTA